CGCTTTGAACCCGGCGACCTGAGAATTGAGTTTGATAATTATCGACCGTGGCTAACAATGAGTGGTATTTCAACTGGTCTTGCCACACACGCCTCTCCCCTTCACCAACCCACACTGACCGGCATGGTGAATTATGGTTAAAAAAAAAGTTTACCTTAATTGACAGTGCCTTCATCCAGCGGGGATTACCCGAAGCACTCTACGTCATCTTCATTATACATTTTTCATGCAGTTATTGCAATGTGAGCATTATTATAGCATTATTTTCGTATTATTGTTGTTGTGCAGTTTTTGTTTGCATTTACTGGATTTTAGTTGCCAGGGGTATTCCTGGCTGGGCGTTTTGGCTCCTAAAATAAGCTGCCACAAAACAAACGTCGGACCAATGTAAAACCTGACACAATTAAGAACAGGTAAAAACAAATGACTACGTGAGACATCTTGCATTTAAATATCAAATACCCTTTAATATGTCCCGATCCATGAAGAGAAGTCACACGTTTGTACTTCTGCTTGGCACGTACGTGACACAGTGATTGCAATCACAAATAAAGCAAAGTTAAGTATCAAACGATGAACGGAATTGAGAGGGCATTTGAGAAGATTTTGCCAGACGGTATTTGGCGATGTTGGTTAGCAACACACAAGACTTGCAATCCAGAGATCGTTGGCATGGGAGTTGAAATAAGGGTGCGAGCTTCTTAAATCCCACCTTGCCTCTGCCCACCTACCACTATAAACGGGTCCACCACAGGTAGTCAATTGGCAAGCCACCTGTGGTGGGATAAAATGTGAGAAAGCCCACCTCTTCAAAGCCATCTGGCCAGCATGGGAGAGAAGGCCCCATAACCACGGGAGGGCCTATCCAGAGCCCCGCTAGCACTCCCTCTAGTGGAGGCCCTGACTCCGGCCGTGGCGTGAGCGAGACATTTCAGGGCTGCAAATTCACCCGTATTTTAGCTCGTAAATATTTTCGTGATCCAAAGCAAATATTTTTGTGCTCCCATTCTTGAGCTCATACATTTGTTGAGATGCACCCCAAATGTCACGTGCTTTTTAACGAGTGGCTAGTTTAGGATATTTACAACACGGTGGTAGTGATTCACTAGTGTCAAGTGAATATTAATAAAAACCCTGATAATACAGTGCTGGATGATGGTATCTCCATGCTGTTGGTCACGGGGTTGTTTAACGACACTTCACCGTTCCAGCCCAAGAACAGTTCTGACATCCCTATCCACAGTATGATGTCAGGCATGGCCCGGAATAGAACTCAGGCCGCCAGGTTCAGAGCACGGCATGCAAACGACTGCGTAACCTCGTGCTGCGTCCAAAGTTTTATACTTTAATTCAGTGCCTTCACCCCTGAGCGTACACAATTATCATTAGAGTTGTGCACCAAGTGAAATGAATGCATAAAGATTTAATGAATGCATAAATTAACACGAACAGATGAAAGCATTATGTGTCTATCCAGACGCAGCGGTAGTCTGTAAATGTATGAATTACTGTAATTACCATTATTATTATTGTTTTCCAGCTGCGCAGTGCTGTGGTTGTATTCTCAACTCACTCATCAAGGTACAATTTTAAACTACAGTAACATACGGACTGGACCCTGCCATAGGAACGTGACATTGCCACCCATTGCTCAACACCCAGCTAGGCTAATTTGTGTACGGAGTTTAAATTAAGTTTCCATGGCTTTTAAACTATTATTGGATTCATATTCTTAGTATTGGATTCGTTCGTTGTCCATCGCAAAGGACACGAAGGGTACGATTTTCAGATGCCTGGCACGAGAGGACCTCTTTATCCCCTACAAGTCTTTAACAAGTGCCTGGCCACGGAAACCTTCTAACCCCACGCTTACTTTGAACTTCCACAAGGACTTCTCAAAGTGCACTGTCAGCATTTCCAGCGAGTGGAAACGAGGTTGCCCCTTGACATCATTCACATCAGGGAGCAAGTTCACATTACATTTGTCGCTTTTACCCAAAAAGCATATTTAAAATAAAAATAAAAGAAATACCCCTGTACATTTCCAAGGTGAGTAATATATGTTTAATGATTAGCGCTGTCAAAATAACCAGACCTAAAAAATCCTCTCAATATTTTCGAGAGTCTCAATGGACGTAAATAGGAGACGGTGGGTGCTTAATAAGTCACGTCACGAAGCAGTCATCGAAGAGCCGCTCATCCAGGCTGACGACCCCTGGATGAGCCGAATCAGAACGGGTTGACTCGGTCTCAGCTTCACCGAGGCACGGCCAAACGATCCTCATCCAGCAGTGGATTGACAAAGGGCTGTACATTATGATTGCTATCGTTTATGATAATTCAGCTGGAGTCTCGTGTATGGATTTTCAAGATTTTCAAGAGCTGCCCACTTCATGTGCCACAGTTGAAATCTTCACGTTTGTTAAGTCAACACGTGGGTGTCCTGCATTCGAATAGAAATGACCGATAAACAAGTGGAGGCACGTGGGCAGACGATTTTAGCCAAATGAGTAGATTATTGAGCACCTGCTTGACAGCTGTACATTTCATTATTCAATTAAAAGTGTTTGAAAATCACTACGAAAGCACACACGGCCATCTGGAGACTTGTACCAATTATGAGACGCACCGCTGCGGGACGAGACATATTCCATGGCATTTTTTGACAACTGCTGAATCCGCTGGATTTCCACTGCATTTGCAACAACAACAAAAGGGCCCCACCCCTCGTGTTATTTTTTTCCTCCTCGGCGCATAGTTTCAGCGAAATACTTTTTTTTTCCTCGTACGCTGGAAACGTATCTCTCGTCGTTAATGTAAACGGGCGCTTCGGTCGAGTGAATGAAACTTCACGACGCTCAAAATAAAATAATCAAAAGTGCCTTTCTTGATCTCGCGGTATTTTCTTTTAAAGGTAAATTGCCAGACGGGATGCAACACGGATCGACTTTACACTTGTTTTTTTTTACCAAAAGGGATTGACGCGCGATACGGCCTAGGGGTTGGGTTGTTCTGGCCCTCGTTAAAAGCCCGACAACCGGTTATGTTGCAACTTTATTAAGGAGAGACACGTACGAAACATAGGTTTTGGCAGAATAGCAGCAGCAGCAGCGGCATCAACCTTGCCCCAAGGGGAGCGCGTGTTTGCGAGCGTTCAGAAGGCGACCCGAAAAACCTGCAAGTTTAGTGGAAATTGGTGTCCGTAGCTGGCACGGACGGACCTTACATTACCAAGTCAACACCGGCGCTGAGCAGATGCAGGCGGCCGTGCAGGTTTTGTGGCCGTACATGGCCTTGGAACACAGCGCCAGCATAACTGCCGCTTGCTAAAACAGCTTTCCCCATTGTAGAGCAAAAGCAACAACAATATTTCAACTTTATTTTTGTGTGTGGGTGTGTAGGGAGCAGCAGAGCAGTGGTTAGCGCAACAAACCAGATACCGTAGCCCCATGAATTGGCAGCACGGATGACAATAGTGGCAATTAGCTGCACTAGACGTTGATCAACTGAGGCTTACAGAGTGCCCTTGTGCACTGTGTGCGTGTTAACATAAACACTGGGGGACGAAACCCGCTTGGCCTTAATAGGTGCTCGCTAACAGCATTTGCCCCAATTGTTCTGCATGGTTATCAGGGAGATCTGCGTGTTTTATGTGTGTGTTCGTGGAACAAATGATACGGGAGTGTACATGACAGTGCGCTGTGCAAATATGAGATGCTTTGTCAAACACGTAATTAAGGAAACCAGTTTTTTTTTTGCAGAACGTACCCAACAATGTACGCGCGCTGTTACTATAAAGCAGGACAGCTCAATGTGATCGTTGGTGCATGAGTGGAATACTTGTTTAAAAAAAAAAGTGCGCGCTTTAAAAACATTGATGGCACGAATATGAATGTTTGGAAAAGGTAAAATGTTATTGTCGAACAATTATAGTTTTTTGTAAAAATGCGGCCACTTTAAAAAGCTGTCAGCGCAAGGGCGCCGAAAGCGATAAACATGAACAGAGCTGCCTTGTGGCGAGCAACTCTGTGCGGAAAAACAAGTCCTTCTGAATCTAGAGTTGAAGTTTTCGTGACTGCAGGGATTTATACTCTTTGGTTCTTTCGGTAAAGTCACGTAGGTAAAAAAAAATAAACTTCAGTTAAAATAACTTCAGCAATTGTTTCTTGCTGTGGTTGTCCCACCTGATGACGGACGGACGCTTGTGTTGCGCCCGAAACGTCTTGATTTAATTTATTTTATTTTATACCTACGTGACTTTACCGAAAACAGAAGAGTAAGTCTTCTGAATATTTGTCCACACACGCGCTTACTTCTTTACACAAGTTTTGAACGCTTTTTTTGAGAATGGAATTTTAAAAGTGTGGTTTGGACTGCCACTTTGCTTTCTCGTCAAAGTAAATTTCACAGCGATGTTCTCAGCTTCCATTCCAGGAATACATAGGGGGGTGCCTACATCGTCTAACCAGTTTAGTGGCTTTCTGACCAGCCATTGCACAATTATTTAAACCAACATTCACTGTTGGATGAGCGCCTCCCCATTGCTAAGTAAGCAATTAAAAAAAACGCGTTTCTAATAATCCGGACTCCATGTAGAGAATCAGAATCTTTATTATCCTGGAGAAATCCGATGAGCTATGAAGCTCTTTTTCAACATACATTCAGCAGAGGAGGGTCAAGAAGTTATAACAATGCAAAAAGCGATAGGAATGCAAAGTATAAATCAAAGCACGAAAAATAAATTATATGAAGTATATAAATTCATATACAATGTAGCAAGCACAGGTAATATATTAAACGTGATAAAATTGAGAAAAAATTCCCACCAGCTGGATCTATATAATAAACAAACGCACACACACTTTTTGAAGGTTGAGATGTTTATGGACAAACACACTGCGAGAAACAAAGTGCTACCTGAAAGTGCGAACACTCGTCGGATCACTCACAGCAAATACACGTAGCATTGAGCTGGTGAAAGACCGACGTCTCCAACTTACCGGCTTAGGCATTTTTGATTCTGGTCACGGCCGCTTTTCCCGATGCTTTCTTGCCAACTGGCCCGGCCAGACAAAAGCCGCACTCCCGCACGCGTGCCGACGCGACCTCGACGAAGAACGTAGCCTGCACGACGATGCGCTCCGCTGCACCTCCAAACGCTCGACCTTCCAAGCACTCTGACTGCACCTGTGGGACGGAGCGCCGTGGTTAAAGGGACATGCGGCCACACCCTCCCCCCCCTCCACGATCTCCTGCCCCCCCCACCATCCCACGCATCTCCACCCCACCTCCGTCCCACCTGTCCTCACTGTCCGATCGTGCGGCCCCCCCCTCCACACCAGGCGATGTTGAGCCACGATCCCCGACCCCCCCCCCTCCTCCTCCTCCCACGTGTCCCCGCCCAGCTGCGCACCAACACCTGGTGGCGTGGAGCGTCACCGAGGTGATTGCATCACCGGGGCTGCGCTGTGAAGATCCCCGCCCTGTAGGCCGACTCAGTTCGCCTGTCCCCCCTCCCACCACCACCTCTCCCCCCCATGTCCCCTTGGAGACGAGGGTTGTTTTCGCTGCTTGATTTTAATGGGAGCGAGCACATGCGTAGCCATGGGTGTTTCTCCGTGTTGGCCGTTGCGGCGGGGGTTGGGGGATGACAGAGGTCTTTGGGTTGCAGTTGTGTTTGTTTGTATGAATCCGCAAAGGTGTAACGGTGGCCAGGAGCCCACGTGCTTGATGCTTTACGACTCTCGTCCGCCCACAGGTGACCCGAGACCTCGACGGTCATAGCCACGTGGAAGTGACCACAGCGACTGCGCGCCGCGGTGACCAGATTTGTGTCGTTCTCTTTACAAAGGGGGCGCCCATAAATGACGTCACGCGATTGTGGACGATTTTTGACCCCCTCCCCCCCTTCGTCACACGGCGTCACAAAAAGTCAGACCTCCCATTAAATATGACGTCACAAAGCTCTGCCCCCCCCCCCAAAAAAAAATAAAACATGCTTCAAATCGCTTTAAACTATTGTCATTGTAGTGCGTATTTAATGTGGCGCTGCACTCTGATGTTGTAGGAGAAAACATTTATTAAAACGTTTAATTAAGTCGAACGTGTTGTCTATATTTAATTAAAGTTGCGAATTGTGATGTGACGTCACATTTCTCAACCCCCCCCCCCCCTCGTCACACATCGTCACAAATGTCTGACCCCCCCCCCCCAGGTGCGTGACGTCATTAATGGACGGCCCCTAATTACAAAAAAAATACCGTGTGATATTAATTTCACGTCATGATATACTGTACGGTAAATATGTCCTACGTGTGCTTTGTGTGTGTGTGTTAAACTGAAGAGTTCACTGCCCACTCACCCGCTCAGCTCTGTTCCCTGAGCAAATACAGCATTCGGTTTCACGTGCATCCCACGTGGCGCTAAGCCGGCTGGCTCGCTCGCTCGCACACACAGTGAGTCACTCGGAATGAAAATCACACGCGGGGGATACTCGGAGGTCAAAGCCATTCGCTTAACTCGCGTACGGACTGATCGAGAATGGAGGGCGCCTTCAGGCGTGGTTATTTGGACGCGCGATATTGATGCGTCTGCCGGCACGGCGCGATTGGTTAGCGCACCGAACTCGGCGAACCAACAGGACATCGGTTCGATTCCATCTACCGGCGCCAGAACTAAAACGTCGAAACGGCGGGGCAAAGTTTCACTTATGGTCCTCCCAGCAGCGGCACAGGAGCGCAAACACCACAGACAGCCACTTGGTGTTTCATGTGGAGTGGGATAAAGTGTGGGTATTCCCACCTCTTCGCATCACATCTGTGGACAAATACCCTCTAAACGCCCGTCCGACGCCACCGTGGTGCCTGCGAGCCAGGAATCCAGCCAGCAAAACTTTTTTTCTCGCAGTATGAAGGGGAATGCGCAGCCCTGCAATTGCTGCTCATGCCGCTGTGGGAGGAAAGGACCCTCCAAATGAATTACATTCTTAATAAGTTATAATAATGTATATTTATTATGACAATGTACTTGTTTAGCCAGCAAAGCCACACTTGCATCGTATGCCCCTTTTTTCAGAAGGGCCTTTCTTGCCTTGGGTTTTACCGTCGTATTCTGTCAGCCCAACGAACGAGTTGTTTGTGAGCAGACACCGGAGCACCCGGAGAAAACAGGGGACAACGCGCCAAGCCCCGTCCAGATGGACAACAGATGGCGACGAGTCCACTTACTGCACCGCCCTCTGCTGTTGTGTGCGACCCATTTGTAGTTCCGGGTGGACAGAGAATGTTGGGGGGGGGGGGAATTGAAAAACTCGCACCGTTGTTTCAACCGACACACCCGGAAATTGGGCTGAACCAAAGTCCTCTGGATTGCCGATCGAGCATGCTCACCATTACACTACGGCATTCCGATATATAATAATAATTTGCTGGTCTTTGTAAATCGACTATTGGACAAAGGTCTCCACGCACCACGGAGGTCGTGGGTGTTGTTTCGACATACTTCACCACGCTGGTTAATGTGTGAGCGGGAAGGCGGGGTTGTGCGGGGTACAGGAATGATTCAGATAACTCTCATCACTCACACGAGCCGTGACCGCCAATGAAACCCAAGCCGTGGGAGTTTGTGGCACAGTGCGACAACCGCTGCGCCACCACTCCACCCTACAGGCGTACGATTCGAAATTAAAAATTTCTCACAATTCAATGGATGTACCGAGAGCCCAAGATTCCACTTTTAAACGATGAGTCCATGCATTGTTGCACTCCACCCTCCTCCCACCCTCCAATGAATCTACTGCGCTCGGGGTGCCCGCCACCGAGCTGTGCTGAGTCAGGAGAGGCGTTCTCTTCGATACAAGAAAGCTGCGTCCATCCATTCCCGTCCTCTCCATCGAAGTTCGGATTTGCGAAACGCTTCGTAAGATCGGCAAAACGTGACAGAGGCCGCGTGTGCGGGAATGCGCCACCGGGCTGGATTGCGACCAGGCCTTGCCATTCCTAGAAATCCCCATGCGTCCGCTGACATCCTACAACGCCCACGGTGGGTTTTTTTTCCTCCCCCGATAAACTTTTGTGTTCGCTTTGAGACATTAAAGGGCCTTCGATGTGCTGCTCTGAGTGGGACATGCCAGAGGCGAAACTTTTCCATGCAGAGTGATGTATGACGGCGTAATCCTTCATGCACAAGCACAAAGGGGCTTTATTCATGAGCTTCGAACTGACTGAGGGCTCACCAGACATGTGTGACATTCTAACAAGAAAGAGGACGGGACCACATCACTCGCATAAAAAAAAATGGAAACCTTTGCTAGCGTAGAGAGAGCGTTGACAGAGATGTGAGTTTGTAGGACTCAACAGCACTTCAGATAAGAGTTTCCCGGCTCTCATCAAGGCTTTTAAAAGACAAGCTAACAAGTTAAAGTTAATTCAACTGTACGTTCCAACACCGAGCCATAGAGACGGTGGCTTCGCTGCTGCACGTGCCTGCTGACTGTAACCCAATCGCGCAAGGCGTGGGCTTCCTCCCACGTTGTAGAATAAACACTCGTCATTAATTGGCTGAAAACATCTTAAAATATAAACCAAATGCAGGACAACGCCTGAAAAAATATGCCTACGACTCAGCGTGGAATTCTTAGACACATAAAAAAATATATCGGGGCAGAGCACTTGACAACAAAAGCAGGTAAATTGAGCAGAGATCGGAGCGGGGTACGAGAGAGAGTGTGTAGGATGTCTTTTAGAGCTTGCAGCCAGCGGGGGAACAGGAACACAGCGCTCACTATTCCCCCCCCCCCCCCCCCAAAAAAAATTCTAATGAACATTCAGGGGCCCATCCGGGGGCATGGGTAATGAGAACGACTTCGCCATTGTTGATTCTGGGCGCAGCCGGGTCTCCGATGCTGTCGCCAACAGCCTGGCCAGGCAGAGCCCAACTCCCGCACGCGTGCCGACTTGACCTTGACGAACACGGGGGCGAAATGCCGAGTCCCTCGATACAGGATGGGCGTGGGTTCGATCCCGACGCTGACGCCGGTATTTTTGGAGTTTTCGTGTCTCTCTCCCCGTGATCGCGTGGGCTTTTTTCTGGGTCCTCCGGTTTTTCCCACCACATTTAGAAACACGCGTTTAGAGTATTTGGCTGCTATACATTTCCGCGTGATAAGCCACTTCTAGATTTGAAGCTTTCGTGACTGCAAGGATTCATACTCTTAGTTTTTCCGGTAAAGTCACGTAGTAATAAAAATAAATAATAATAATTAATAGAAAAATGTATAGAAATAAAATAATAAATCACGACGTTTCGGAGGCAACACAAGCTTCCGTCTTCAGGTAGAACCGTCACAGCACAATTGCTGTATCAAGTGATTTTTTTCTATTATTTATTATTATTTATTTATTATTATTTATTTTTTACCTACGTGACTTTACCGACAAAAACCTAAGAGTATAAGCCACTTCGTTGACTTATCATTTGTGGCCAGGTCGCATCGGAAAACGAGCTACGTAGCTCAGTGGGCCTTATCTGGTTAAATAAGAACAAGAAGAATAGTTTCGTTATTGTAACCATGTGGGTGTGAGGCACGCGCCCCTTCCCTTCCGCTGAACTGCGGTGTTAAAGGAACGCGGTCCACACCGTCACACACTACCCCCGTCAAAACATACCCATCGATTAGAATCTCTATTTTTTGGAAGAAAAATTCAACTTCTTGGTTCTTTCGGTAAAGTCACGTAAAATGGAAATAATAAAATAATAAAATTAAAACATAACAAAATAATTCTCACGACGTTTCGGCCACAACGCAAGCAGCCGTCCTCAGGTGGAGAACAGAGTCTGTCTCATCGACAGACCTGTTCCCCACCTGAGGACGGCTGCTTGCGTTGTGGCCGAAACGTCGTGAGAATTTTTATGTTATTATGTTTTATTTTTATTATTTTATTATTTCCATTCTACGTGACTTTACCGAAAGAAACAAGAAGATGAATCCCTGCAGTCACGAAAGCTTTAAATCGAAAAAAATTCAAGTTAATTATCGGCACGTGCTCGCAGCTTTGATAGACATCCTCAACCCTTCCACCTGCCTCCCGACGCAAACTTGACCGATCATCTTCTCATCTCTGCTCCTTGACCGACCCTAAGGAACGAGATTGACTCAAAGTCTCACATACACACACACACACAAACCA